CGGCGCTTTCGGTTCCTCTTTTCCCCGCTAGCTACCGCCGGTGGATTTCGCGCGGTCTGGTTGCGAGCTTCCCTGCAGCCCCGTGCTTCCCTGAAACCTCGTGCTGACCGAACCTGACACCCATGACCATGCATCAGGGATTTATGGAGTTTATGATTAAAATCCCTTGAAGGCACCAGACTGAGAAGACTCATCTCCCTCATTCTCCAGTTGTGCCTTTCATTTTTGGTGGCCTTTTTTCCCCCCCAGTAGGTGATTCTGTATTATTTCAAAAGACTTTCTCCAGTTTATCTTTTCTGTTCCTGATGTGGTTTTCAGTATTGGTTCTTTGTTAAAATTGAAACACTCGTTTTAATGGTTTAATTTGTCTCTGTTTTGCACTTTCTTATGGTTGTTTATGCATAATTGTGTGTTTCAAAGACATAATGGGAATTAATCTGTGCATCAAGAAGATTGATAGGAAAACAGCATGTTGTATATGATCCACTTATTTCAGCAATGAAAATTGGAAATGTTACCCATCTCATTACTCAGAATACTTTAAAAAGGAAAATTATCTAACCATTCTTAGTTGAAGATGAGACCTCTTTGAAAGGGAAAAATATATTGATTATATATTGCCATCAGAGCATTATCAAGTGTGTTTGAAAAGAGGTTTGTTACCTGCGTAATAGACTTAATGTGACTGCATTTGCTCTTCAGATACAATTACTGATTATGTAGTGTGTCACATTATGGACTGTCGTAATCAGTATGAAATCTTTGCTCTCGGGTTTCATGAAATACATTTTCTCTCAGAAAAAGGAAAAATCTCAGAATATAATCTGTATCAGCCAATGCATGCTAAAATCATTCTACATGGCCCTGAAGTTGCAGTGCTGTTCAGCATATACATTCAGCACAATTACATTGTGCACTTTCCCCCATAATAGTACATATATTAATATTATGGATACTGTATGTAGCTTCTGTGAGAATGCTCCTAGAAGTAGGATTCCTAAAATTAGCAGCCCAAAGATATGGCAGCTATTTTGTATTCCACCCCCACCCTCACCTCACCCCAGTTTTCCTTCAGAAAGGAAAATATGGACAAAAGAGGTGGGAAAAAGACAAGGGGTCTTGGAATGTCTTCTAAGTATCATGAATTAGGAAGGATGGTTGTATTCACCAAACCTAATTTGGAAGCTCTGTGAATTTCATGAGAGTCTAATGGGTAGACTTTAGTGATGTCATTAGTAATAAAATAAATCTTAGTTATCTTGCATCATTTTACAAATTTCTACTGTTTTAGAATATTTTTTGGATATTACGAGCTATATCCTATATACAATGTCAGAGAAATGGCACTTATCTTGCAATATTTTTAAGTTAGAATCTCCGTATATGTCCTGGTTCTCTTCTGGCTGACTGTTACTGTACTAGCTTTTGTACGAATAAAGTAATGAAAGGATGGCTTCCAGAAGCAGATTTAAAGTGGTATTTTGCTACTAAGTCAATTATCTTGTTGAATGATTTATATAGGCTATTGAGAATTGGCTCTGGAAGCAGAAGAAATTAATAGGCATGTTTGGGAGAGCCTGGGAGAAAAGAGAATCAGTGCAATGATATGGACACACCAAGAAGTGGGCAAAAGTATACAAAAACTAAAAGGGAAAGAAGTTTAGTTAGGAAAAGAATCTAAGACAGTGCTTCCCAAACCTGGGTAAATTACCCAAAATTGGGTAAAAGTGGTTTTTCTTTGGGTTACAACACATGAAACCATTCATAACAGGGACATTTAAATTGACTTAAAGATTGCCATGTGTACTAAAATATATTTGAAAATCT